ATTAGATATTATAAGGAATTTAAAAACATAATACTTACGATATGCAAGAACAATCTACATACATGAAAAATTGGCAAGCTTGGTAATTAGATTTTCTTTGCAATCTTTTGTTAGTGTATTCGTTGTGGTCCTATTCCTTGTCCTGAAGATGCTGTGTGTCCACAAGGAAGTTATAAGCCTACATTTTGCAGTAGTCCCTTCTTTGTTCGTCAAGGTTATAAATGTTTTATGGCTGATGCTTTGGTGGGAATTATCATTAGTACTACATTGCGTAAGTAGATCGATATTGAAACATGTATTTACTTTGTTGCTGATAAATATTGTATTATAAGGTAACTGCCATCTCTTTACTGTATTGGCATTAAATATTACATTGTCAGTTCTTGTGCTTACTCTGTTGGTGTTAAATATTATATTCTAAAGTCATTCCAGAATTTTTAAAGAAAATATTATATTTTTCTTGTTTTTTTATTTTTCTTGAAAGGAATTTTTCTTATCGTAGTTAAGTCTTGATATATTTTGGGTGATAATTATACTCAAATTGTGAAATGTGTTTTTATTGCTCTATCTGTTTCTTCCAGAAAAATGCAAGTATTAACATGTTCTTCATAGTCTTATAGAAATTGTAGTAGAGTATTTTAAAAACAAGACAGTCATTTCAATCATGTTTTGTACTGCAATGTTTATTAATAAGATTTGTTTTCAATAGCACCATCTTAACTTGTTGGGTGTGTGCTGGATATTATTAACACAATTTTTTTTTTTTTTCAAAAACATACTTACCCCATCTCACATTTAGCTAACATTTGACTGCTAGGGTTTCCTTCCTTTGCCCATCTAAGCATTTGTCTGATTTTTCCTTGTTTGCTTCAGTCCTTTACTTCCCACTTAATAGCCCTTGGCGATATCTGTTTCATGACACTTTCCACCTGCATCAATGTGCCCTCTATCTTGGTACTGTATATAAGCACCTCCTTCATATAATATTGTCACTTTTTCTTGACAAAGCGTTCATTAACAGATTTCTCTGTAGTATAGTACGATCATCATTGGAGATAATTTGAGTGTTCTTCGTGCTACGTATTTGATATTCATTAAATTAATGTATCTGGCATAGAGGCAAATCTGGGGGGGGGGGGGTCGCTCTTGGTTGAGGCTGTCGGTGACCTTATCTGTAGTAAGATACATTTGGTCTGGTAATGTGTCCTCAGGGGGCTCTGAAGCTGCACTTGTGGGCAATCCTGGACATTCTGGGGAGAAATTAGATTCACTTCTTCCATGCCTTCCTTTACTGTGTTGGCTTCTCATGAGGCTAGTTTGAATCGGCTGCCTCTGGCTCCTTTTCTCCCATTGATACATCAAGGGCATGATGTTTTGGGTCTTTTCCCAGTTGCTTTTGAGTCTGTGCCTTCCTTGATGGTGGAAAGGTCTGTAGGAGAGAACTTACTTCTCCCTCCATCCCCTAATATTGCAGTTCATGCATGGAGGATTACTGCTCATTTACATGAAAGGACGGCTATGCTTTTTCCTCCACATTGATCAGAACTCACCTACCACTGCCAAGTGTAAGATATTTAGACTTTCGGAGAATAGAACTGTTCGTGGAAATGTGGAGTTCCAGAACAGAATCTGTGGTCAACCTAAATAGATCACAATTTTCTAGGACTCATCTCACCCTAACTATGGTACTAAGATATTTATCATCCTTACACCTTTTTTAGGAAGCCTCTCAGGGAATTGCACATCACTTTGATGATGATTTGGGACCATTGTTAGCATCCACTTTGGTTCAGTTGACAGCTTCTGCACCTTCCCTAGTCTCTTGGCTGATATGTTGTTTTTATTTGTCCTCCAACAACTCAACTCTATGAGTTGTTGGAGGGCATTCATCTAACTGCTTCCACCCTCCATGAGTTGGGTGGGCTTTTTCTCTAACCCTTGATTTTTGCAGATGTTCCAGAGTTTTTGGAGTCAAGGTTTGATGTCACCCGTCTGCATTCATTCCTGTCATCGTTGGCTTCTCGACTTTCCTCAGCCCCTACGGGGGGTCATGGTTCTGCCCCTATTCGATTGTCTCAACCCCCAACATCAGTCCCTCAGTCCATTGGTACCCAGAATAGATTCTGCCCATATCCACAAGGTTCCATTACTTGGCTGGAATGCCACCAGTGGCTGCGGTGACTACATATCCTGTGGGGTTTGTGGAGGCTTGGATCAGAGAATTTCTGGACATTCTAGAAAACGTTTACCATAAATTCATGGGTACTACAGGTTTTTGCATCAGGATTAGTCATTCAGTTCACATCTTCACCACAATTATCCCCCCCCCCAACCTGTTGTGTTTACGCCTCCCGCAGATCCTCAGATTTCAGAACTTCAGAGCTGAGACACCTCTTCTCACTCCAACACAATATATCCATCTGAGTGTCATTTTCAACATGTATCTCAGTCGGGTTCAGCCAACTTCCATTCAGCTCCACGCTATGGAACAGGCAGTCCAACTCGTATGTCTCCTCTCCCGTGGTTCTTTTTCTTTTGGAGATATGTGCAACATTCGATTCCCTCATTCCTTTGGGACAAGTGCACAAGATCCCTTCAGTGATCTCTTCGTGACCAATAGATCCTGAACAGTGAACCACTGGACTCCCCAGTTTCCTTATTCAGGATCACCATCTTTGATCTGGAGTCATGGTTAGATCTGAACAATACTATGATCAGTGTTCCTCTGCCACAACCTTGTCCAAAGTTCCATCTTTTCTTTTGGATGGGGTGAATATCTCAACGGTCAGGAATTCCACAGCATATGGACAGACGATGAGGCTTCCCTCCACATCAATGTTTTTGAACTTCTTGCTTTTCAAAGGGTGGTGTCTTATATTTCCCCTCAAGGAGCATTCAGTCCAGATCTCTTTGTTTTCAAACCTTGGATATTCTATAATGGGCCCACTCTTATCATATCATCCTACTAGCTTGCCACATTCCGGAGGTGATGAATTTGGTGGTGGATCAATTGTCTTGACCCTACCGGATTCTCCCGACAGAAGGGATACTTCTTTGAGGAGTTTTCCATTAGATTTGCTTTCAGTTTGGGATATCAATGATTGATGCATTCACCACTCATTGGAACACTCATATACTGGCATTTTGGTCTCTGGTACCTCACCCTCAGGCATTGGCAATAGATGCATTCAATCAACATTGGACTGGATTGCACCTATATGCCTACCCACCTATTCATCTGTTACCCAAGTCCTAGCAATGATTCGTTCAACCCCTGGTCGTGTTCTTTTGGTAGCACCAGATTGGCCAGCTCATTCCTGGTTTCCCCTTCTGCTGTACCTTCAGGAGTGCTCACCTCTTCCACTTCCTCTTTGGCCATCTCTGTTGAAGTAGCCATGATCGTCAGCCATGGTATTACTGTACTATGCTGGACTGCCACTCATGGATTATCATGAGTAAAGCATAAGGAGAACATGCCCATCCCTCTGAAGATCAGTGGATTGCATATATTGGGGTTGTTTTTCACCTGTTGCACTGTATCCAGAGCATTATTCCTCAGGGCTTCCCAATACGCATTATCACCACACCCCTTATTCTATTAGAGAATCTAGAGAATTCTTATCTCCTGGTTTCCAGTCACAGGAGTGGTGGACAGAGGTTATTCCTCCAGTGTTCAAGTGACTTTCCTCCACTCTTGGTGAAGAGGGTGAAGTTGGGGCCCTCCGACTGGGACCATGGATGTTTTTTTCCCAGATGTCAGTAGGAGCAGCACCAGCCTGTGTGAGAGCCTACTCATAATATTGGCTCATATTTGATGCTCAGCTTTCTAGTTGGGTTGAGCATTGGCCCCTTTTTTTTATCAATATTGGTTCAGTATGTTGTTTGTGGAAGAAGGTCCATTGTATCCTTGTAATTCCAAATGTAGAGTGGTCCCATCCTGGGTTCTTGTTTGAGCACTGTTTGTTCAACATTCTTTGCATAATTCTTTACAACATACTTTGCCCACATGGTTGGGCAGTGTTCATAATTCCAGACTGGATAAGTTCTATTTCCTCAAGTTGAATATGGCATACAGGATCCCATCATCCTGAGTTTGGGTGTTGCTTTTCGGACTTTTTCAGGTTGAGAAGAGGTTTGTCCACTTCACTGTTGCTTACCTTCTTGTCGTGATTCTGGTGGCTCGGAATCAATCACCCTATACCTACAGGTTGGGACCCACTCATAAATATATCTATTGTGGTCCAAATGCCCTAGCCACCAACGTGGGATTTAGGAGCCATGGTCTTATAATTCTTACCCCAAGCAGTGGGACCTCAGCTATCTAGTTGGGGCCTAGCCAATGGTAATGACAGATCACATCAAATTTCACCCACAATGCATGATTTAGGTTCTCGGTGAAGAGCATACCTGTTCTGGATGTAGTGCAGTTCCCCCACTAGGGTGCTAATCTTCTTTTGGCAAAACCACAGTCTATGCAGCTGCATTCTGTATGAATATTGTCCTCATCGGCTCTTCCACATTATCAATGTGGATTCTACCTATAGTGTGAGAGGAGGTAAGTATGTTTTAGAAGTTAACATTTTCTTAAATCAAAAATGTATTCTCAATGATACTTATCTCCAGTCTTAGAGATTGTGGATTGGGTTAATCTCGAAAAAGTGACGATGTTATCTGAAGGAGGGGCTTATATACAGTACCAAGATATAGGGAGCATTGATGTAGGTGGAGAGTGTCATGAGACATATTGGCAAGGGCAGTTAAGTGTGGAATAAATGACTGGATCAAGCGAGAAAAAGTCAGACCAATGCTTAGATGGGCAAAGGAAGAAAACCCTAGAAGTTGAGTAATATCTACAGTGTAAGAAGAAGTAAGTATTATTGGAAATACATTTTTGATTTAAGAAAAGGTTAACTTACTATTTCTAAATTACAGTTAAATGTTTTAACTTTTTCTATATATAAAACAGTTTCTTTAATTATACTCAATATCACCAAACATTTTTCTTTGCAGTTGTGGTCCTTTCACTGATTATAATTTCAGCTAAATTGTACATTAGACGACTAAGGAGGAGAGGTATGATTGAAGACGGCTCTCTTGTGCAAGATACTAGTACAGAACCAGTGTATACAGGATTATGACATAACTTGGTAAAAGTATTGTTTGTAAAGAACCCAGTATTCTGTATCTGAGCAGCATTAGCAGATGTCCTAAGGAGTTTCATTAATTTTAAACTGTTTCTTTGCCACAAATAAGATTCAAACACGGAGCCAAAAGAATAGTATCAAATCTGTCTCCTTTTTTAGTATTGTTACACAGATGTAACTAAGTACAGTTTAGTGAATTACATATTTATATAAATTTAATGAACAGAAAAATTTATAGTAAAAAAAGTAAAAAGAAACAACTTTAATTAAATAACAATTCTATAAGCATTCTTCATGAATTACTTGGGTGTTAAAGGATAGTAACAGTAGTCAGTAACCAGTACTTCCTTTTAGTCTTTCTTTTAAATGTTCCATTATTCTACTAAGAATATGAATATAAATATATGTATATAAAGTACTACATGAAGTTACCATCAACTAAAAATGGTTTGCTTTTGTATATTTCATGAACTGTGTTTTTGTTTGTTTGTTTTTCAGAAAATATTTCCAATGATAATACATTTACAACACTAAAACTGCAAATATCTAAAAAATAGTTTTTCAGTGCTATATCCTGTTATTATTCTTGCAATTAAGTTTCCCGAGCTTGTTGCAAATAGTTTTATCTTTTGTCAAAACCATTTTGTTGTATTCTAGATATTTTTATTGTCTGATTTTGATTATATTTAATATAAAGAATTAAGTTAAATTTTGAAAGATGATGGGCTCCTCTTCTATTACTGATGATTATTTCTGATTGGTTGAACAGGAAGTTGATTTTACTATCTTTTACTCTCAGAGTCTCGTTTTGTTCCAATCACATTTCTGGTATTTATTATTAGTTTTCGTTGTTACTTGGTTAAATATTTCTACTTCGTTTACCTGTACTTTGTTTTTTGAATACCAAGTACATAAATCAGTTATTCAAATTTTAAGTGTCTAAAATGTTTTGTTTTTTTCCATTCTTTGATCTTGTTTTCATGCTCTTTCTTCAAATGTTTTGTAACTGACCTATTGTCATAATAACATTATAACAGAGATTTAAGCTAAATTTCTTTATTGTTAAATTGAAAAGTCTAGATTTTTGTGTTTGCATAATATATTTTGTTTTTGCTTCTGGTTGTCATTATTATAGTGAATATCATGATGGAAAACAAACTTGAGTGCTTCAGCTGTTTTACCCAAATGCAAACTTGTAAAAAGCAATTGGACAATTATTTAAAGTATACACTCACACACGCACATTTTAATGTTAGGAGCAATCAGATACAATAGAAATTAGCACTTATGGGGTATTCTGTAAACATTTCAATTATTTCAAAGTAGAACTCAGGTTTAATAAGAAACTACTAACTTATGTAGAAAAATAATATACATTTCATTATTTTTGAACTAAAAAAGTAGAAATAAATTACCTGTTATTTTGCAGTAGAAATCGGGACTTTTTATAAAATAAAGGCTTATTCTTCAGTATCATCCCTAAGTGAAGAAATCTTAGGCTTTACTCGTGTCTAAACTTGCATCCTCTCCACTTTTAACAACATCCCAGATTACCTTTAGAAATATAAAAATAAATGATACAGGTTGTGCTCTTACTATTTAAAAGGAAACTTGTATCATGTCAGAAACACATACATATATCGAAAAGTACCAAGTTCAACCCCCTCTTCTTTTTCTTTCTGTGGAGGAGGAAACATTTTAGGTATCTCATGTTTGGCTTCATAGCTCTAATGAAGAGGAAATTGTAATGCAAGAAATAGAATACAAGTTAGATATTAGTTTTTACTATTGTTTTGTGTGTGTGTGTGTGAGAGAGAGAGAGACTATCTTTACATAGTTGACATTCAATTGATAAAAAGCATATCGGTCACAGCCTAAAAGCAGAAATGTAAAGAGTAAACTCAAACAGTACAGATTATGGTTTTAAGTTGTAAACATAAAATTATACATTGATTCCTGGTTGGTTCTTGTCTCTGTCAAGTCTGATTTGGTTTTGAGTATATCTGCTCCTGAATGTACTGCTATTTACAAAAAAATGAAATTGTTTGGCATAAATACACTATTTAATTATTTATTGGTAAAGTATTTGTGTAAACTAACAAAAGTTATTCTTGAGGGGAGAAGTTTCTCATAAAATTGTGAACTCTTACTTTGTAGTGCAAATAATGTATATTTATAAGATGCTTGTAGAAAATTAGTAGTAATGTTACTTAATATTACTTTCTAGTCATAAGTATCTCGGTGATAGTACCTTCTATAATTTTGCTTAGATATTTTAGAGTTTTATAATTTCTCTATCAGACCAGTAGTTCTTTAATATCAAAATTGAAATATTAATGGGTTCTTTCTAGCATTTGGTTTTCCTGCAGGATAAAATTCTTAATCTTTAATTTATTGGAATTATGTGTGAATTTTTACATGAAGTATATCCTTTTCCTCAGGGAAAAAAATTGTGAAATGTTATGTTGTTTATATAATGGGAACTGAATTTTCCTTTTTTCTTAAGAATCAAACATAACTGAAATTTGCTTATATAGAGGTTTTGGATCTGACACACAACAGTTTTATATATGTAGCAACTTTGAAGTAACATCTGGCTTAAACTTATAAGAAATTTTTTGTACCCAACCTAATTCTGTAGAATCTAATCAATTATTGAAAAACTGTAAAATTATTTTCAAAAACTGAAAGTGTATAAGAAAGTTAGTGATAAGTATATGTATATATGTTCTACAGATAATGTGGAGTTTCGTAAGTGGGCAACGTAATACCCAGAAGTTAATATGTATATATATGACATTCATGATGTTAAGAAAGCACACATGTTAAAAAAAAAAAGCAGTAAGACAAAAATAAGAAACCCTAATGTTTGATAGCAAACCAGATTTTTCAAATGAACAATAGATTAATCTTTGATTTACATGTTTGAAAATTTATCACTTTTTTTCTTTTTTTGACTTCACATTTTATAAATGAACCAAAGCTTAAATGACTCCATATCAATAGCAGATAGGGACATGCTTCACGGTTCCACCATAAATAATTAGTCACAAATATATATTCTCATACAACAGACTATTTTAGGGTGTTGCTTTTTGTCATGTACCATTTTTATAAATGCAAGTGCAACATGTTTCAATTATATAAGCTTGTTACATATCACAAAAATGATGGTGGTTCTTAATGATTTTGTTGTTTCATTAAATATTAAAATATGATAATATTTTTGTGATATACATTAATCTTATCATTCTCAAGTGGATACAAACATTTGTATATTTTTTGTTAGAATGTGGGATACTGTAAATTATCCACATGCATGAGATTATTTTTAAAAGTAACTTGTCTTTTTAATAAAAAGGTTTATAAATTATCAAGAGAAATATGTGAACAAAAAGCAGGTAGATAAAGTGATAGAAGTGACAAGTAAAATCATATCACTAGGAGACAATGTATGTGAAGACTGTTTTACACATTTTCTTCAGTGTGTATGTAATCTCACACTATACTTTCGTCCTTGTTGAAACAAAAAATCTTATTCTGTTATAAAAGTTTAAGCTCCTAAACAAAATTTGGTTGAAGTTACAGCTGATATTTGTTTTCAAGTAATAATTTCTGACATTTTAATGTAAATGTGTGATTTTCAATATTTAATTTGATATTGGAAGGTTTAAAATATTATAACTGCTTCTTCAAATGATAAAGGTTGAAGATATTGAAATTGACCACTGAAATATTAAAAGTTATGTTGTGATGCCCACCCAGTGGCTCAGCAGTAAGTCTGAAGACTTATAACTCTAAAAACTGGGTTTCATTACTCATCATAGGTAGAGCACAGATAGCTTATTGTGAAGCTTTGTACTTAACAACAAAGTTAAATGCAATGTTATTTTCTGTATGGAAATTTAAGAGTCAACAGAACATAGAGACAGTTGGACTTGACTGCTTACAATTTAATTTACAGGTTTGAAACTTTAGTCACCATTCATAAAATATGCCATTGATAGAAACTTGTTGGTTAAACTATTCCTAGAGAAAATTCAAATTGTTAAAAGGACTTGACTGGCAGTATTTTGTATTACATTTTCAATGTTATATAATTCTGTAGCAGAGAAATTGAAAGAACATTAAGCAAATGTTCTTGAAACTTTAAACGCTTATATCATATCCAAATTGATTATGATTTAATATGTATAAATTTAATATTTTACTTTTTTTTTTAAATTCATCCAATAAAAATTTCTCTGCTTGAATTGTCAGGAATCTGATAATGATTTATTACATAGTATACAGTTAAAACTGCTGTATACTTACCATGTACCAAGCAAGAAATTCATTTATTACTTTATGATAAATCACAGGACAATTTGATGTTGGGTTCTAAGAAATATTCAAAGGTTTGAATAAAGATGAAACACTGTATGTTGGGATATTAAAAACTCAGGAGAAAAATATTTCTACTTTATAGAATAAGACTTGAAGTAGAAGCCTTAATCAGTTCTTCCGTGTACTCAGATAATACCATATAGACAAAAAAAAATGTTTTTTTTCTCAGCTGTTTAGTATGAAAAAGAACAACTGTCTAATAATGTTTTATATTTTATCAACATTATTGATTAAGGAAAATTGAACTACAGATATTGTATTTTAAGTAAATTGGTTTATATGATAGCAAACAGATATTTGTTTTCATATTACAGAATAACTATTATTTTTTCGTGTTAGTTATCTTTTAAATTAATCTATTGGTAAATATTAAAATCCATAAATGAACAACATGTTTTATAATACACAATTTTTAATCTTTATTTAAACCAGTCACTGGTTGTAAAAGTCACTACATGTTTCATCATGGTTTCACGTCATCTTCAGGAGTGTGAAAACATGTTGAGTGACTTTTACAAGTGTTAATCAGTTTAAGTAAAGATTTTAATTGTGTATTATAAAATGTTGTTCTTTTATGGATTTTGATATTTTAAATATATATATACACACAATTTTCTTGAATTTGAACCTTTTAATATAATGTAGCGGTATATTAAGTAGCACTTAGAGTACGAGGCCATTCTGTTCACTGACACCATTTATTGTACATTTCAGTTGTAGTAAATAAACTGATTATTTTTTAAAAATTCCTTTTTCTTTATCTTTATACACTGCTGTTACTGATTGGTCAGTGCTAAATACGGACTTACCACGCTGAAATCCATGGTTCAGTTCCCAACAGAGGACAGAAATCCTTTTATGCAGCATTTCACACAAAGAAAAAACAAAAACTGCAGTTACTTAAGCAGACAGTTTGATGATAATATACTCAAAGTAAAATATATAGATTAGTAATGTTTTTATTAGCCTGTAAGGGAGATTATTTTCAAATGGCAACATTTGATAGTTTTTGTGTATGTTTAAACTAATACCACTTAAAATCATTATAAAGCTAAGAGAAAAAAATTATAGTATCAACAGAGAATGTAAAACTTTAGTTAGGGTAATATTTGATGTGATTATGTCACTATGTACACTTAATTCCAATCAACTGTTTGGATGTATTTGAATACCTCAGGTGTAAAAACAATGTCACAAATAGGTGGGAATTTTAGTTGGTTTATTTTTTTTTTATTGGGACAACTAACACATCTCTTAAAGATTAGTGCAATTATATATTCCATCCAATAAATGTTTTATGTAAAATGCATATATTCTCTCACTTACTTTCTGATCATTGAAAAAAACTAGGCATTGTAAACTCAAGCATTATGTCAAAATAGTAAGGTAATGTATCTAAACTCATCTGGAACTTGCTTCAGGGCTTTATAATCCAAATATACAAAGAGATTATTTTGTTGCACAAAGAGTAATATGTTTATCAGTGCAGCATAATCAAAGAAACTACCAAGGTATTGATTGGCCCTGTGATAGAGCTCTGGATTTCAGAGCTAGTGAGTCAAATTTGAATCCATGTGGTGCTACAAAATATTCTCTTTATTTTAAGATGTGTTTGTGTTATAAGAGTGACAGTCAGTCCCTTAACATGCATTAAGGGTGTTGTTGACTGGCTGCCCTCCCTCCAATCAGAAGTTCAAAAACAGAGATTGCCACAGATGACCTTAGTAGCTTTGCTATAAATACAAAACACGTACAAAGACACCACAGTTCTTGCTGTTATGTTCCTTAGTATGAATCAGTGTTATAACTCAGTATCTGGTGTACATTGTCCTTATTCTTCAAAGTGGTTGGAAAGTACCCTAAGATGAAAATATAGCAGCACTAATATTAATATGGTTATGTGTCACTGCCCATTATCAAACAAACTATTTCTGGTTAACAATAGTGATTGCCTCTCAATAATATATTTCTGAGAAATAATGCAGCACCATAAGGTTATGTTTTACTGGCCAGCATGAAACAAATCAGTCCTGGCAACTGCCTCGCATTAACTTTTATCATCATTATTATTATTTAGAAATGCTCTTTTTTAAATTCAATGAACTTTAATTTGTTAGAGCTATATAAATCTACTCATTAATGTTTTTATTTTGATATCCAACTGCTCTGAAATATACTTTATCAGGCACTTATTGACACTACTGTATTGAAGTTCAGACACCTTTTTCTTCACCTGTTGTTCTTGTGGCTTGTAAAAGTAAGAATTAATTGATCTCTTTAATTTAAATGCAAACTTTCTAATCACCACTAGTTGCAGTTTTTAACTAAAATCTTAACTTTCTGAAGCACCATTTATCAGGTACAAATGCATATGTCTGTTAAGATGTATATTTAATACTAGTGCAACAACACATAAATAACCTTTATCATAACTGATAGCAACTATATAACACTGACAAACTTTACAAAAGTCTAATCTTTTAGAACATTGCATGTATCACATGACCATGACTTTTAAAAGTTCACCCAGTGATTGTTAAACCTACACTAAAGGTTTGGTTCCTTCAGCTAAAATTTTAAATAATTTTTTAAATTCTAGTTAAATATTATTAAACAAACAATTAAGTGTCATTGTATGTGCACTGCATTTAGTTTAAATTTTAAATATTACAAGTCATATTTTCCAATTCTGGTCAAATATTATTAAATAAACAATTAATTTCTTTATTTCATTCTATACCTAATTGATGGATGTTTCTAATTCTTGTCCTAATTACATCCTGTAATTAAACTTTTTCATCATAATTTTATTTTTAATGATTTTTCACAAATATACTTACTCGATGAAATGTTCAAATGATTTCAACATAGTAATACAATATTTTTAAAAATAAGTGATTGATGGGCTGATGTTTTGAATAACCTACTGATGATGTGTTCTAACTATCCTTCAGAATTCTAATAGAATATGTGAAGAATGTCTATGAGATATTTTTATGAAGAACACTGATTGACAAAGAGAATTTTATGTGTTTAAAATTATAACTGAGTTTACTACACATTATGAAATTCCTGCATGAAAAATACCAAATATCTACAGAAATCATTACAAAGTCACGTTTATGTACCAGCCATAAATTTCACATACTGTGTTTGAAGGTTTATCTATAGTAAAATGTTAGGTGAATCAAAGCTTTTATAACACACTATAGATTAAACATTTTAGGAATAGAAGAAATTCTAACATCTAATTTTACACACAATAAAAATTAAACTCAAACATAACGTTAATAGATTTTGTACATTAATTCCAACACTTATAATAAAAATATAAACTATACATCTTTGTGAGGCAAAAATATTGTAATATTACATCATTTTAACAACAATTCACAAACTACAATGAAACTAGTATGAACATATAATGCTTGAGACAGCTTGAATGGGTAATGAAGAAAAACTTTAATATAAGTTTAACATGACAGCAAATGTACAAGGTTTTGTCATCATCAGGTCATCAACCTTGTTGAAATGTTATACATTTGCTGTTATGTTAAACTTATATTAAAGTTTTTCTTCATTACCCATTCAAGCTGTCTCTAAGCATTATTAGTCTCAAAGTGAGTTCTTTGTCATCGAATTTTAATATGAATATATATTTTCACTAACTATGACAGATGAATCTATCAGAACTTCTAGAGCTTTTATAAACTGTTACACTTAACATTCCTTATAGCTGTTGGTTTTCAATATATTCTTGATGTAAAAATGATGTGTGGTGGGCACGGATCTGTAAATATCAAGAAATCTGAAATTAAGCCACAAAATGTCGGGGGGAGGGGGGTTAAGAAAATTTTTTTAATCTATAAAAACCTTGAAATATTAGGAAAGTAATATTTTTGAATGCCTAATGGCTATGATAGACTGAAATATAAATCATGGATTGTGTTCACAGTTGCTCAAGTTATAATTTGTTCAAGTAGAAAGTTAATAAAATAAAAGTTTGTTTTTTTGTGGCCAACTTTAATTTTTCATAACTATTCCATTGTCCTAAAATAAGCGTACAGTATATAAAGCTTAACTGTGAGGATATGTACCTTGGAACTATTACCCTAAGAATTAAGCTGTATTTTCTTCCAATACTTTATAATTATTGTTTTAAGAGTGTGAATACAGGGAATTTGCTTCTTAAAAATGTTCAGCTGCAATCCTTGTGACTGTTCAGATCAAACTTGGCCCATATCACATACTTCTGTTATTTAAATGGGAAATATCTCAATAGAAAATTATGAATTGAATTTCAAACATTATTAAAAAATTACCTCCTTTACAGTTAGCTATTTGGCTTATTACTAGGTTTGTAGTAATGGAGGACAATTTTATTTGTACATTATTGTGTAAATGGCAGTAAAGATGGAAAACCTTGGATACTTTTTTGTTAAGGGATCCACATGGTGTAAATTATCAAACTTCCAATTTTTTTAATCTATTTGATCTTCCAAGAGAATTTGATGAAATAATTTGTACAAAGTTGTCTTTGTGTGAAAGTCTTACACGGTTGAAATTTGGATAAAAATGTTAATCACAAACTTATTACAGTGGAATACTTTTAAAAACTGTATAGTTACCTCTCAGGTTCGAAGGTATCTTAACATCCTGCTTGATAAAGGAAGTTAAAGCTGTTCCTACTTCCTTTGTAGTAATTGTTCACTTAATGAAGCAAAGAGTATTGAGATATTCCTAGTATGTATATACCATCCTAGTTACACCACAAACTTTATCCTTTATAAACTGTTGCTCAGAGTTCTGGAGTGATGGTTTTTAAAATATTTATTATTTAACAGTTTACATAATCATGCTCAAGAAGTGTTTTTCCAAGGATATAAATTTATCTAGATCTATAAAGATGATAGTGTAAACATCTTCTTACCTAATGTAATCAACAGGGTTATGTATTGTTGAACTTTAGTTTTCTGAGAAAAGGAATAAACTTATGAGAATATAGGTTTATTTATGTAATAAGTAGTTTTAAACTATGGCTCAAAAATTAGCATTAAGCCCAAAATGAAAGAACTACTTAGTTGCTGACAGTTAAGATCCTACTTTAGTGGCAACATCAACCTCAGGTGTGTGTTTAGTAACTGGTCCTTATTTTATGGCAAAGTAAAGCAGACGTGTGCGGCTTCTTAGCTATCATAGATGAAACTGTGAGAATACCTGGTTGAACAGATACACAAAAAGTAAAAACAAGAGGTTTGGTTGTTTTTTAAAGTAAAGCCACATTGGGCTATCTGTTGTGTCCTTTATTCTCCTGAGGAAGAATAGTCAACTAGAAATTATTGGATAAATGTCATAAAGGGAAAGTCTATTCTATTATCACTATTCTAGGTAATATGAAATGTTTCAACCACTTATAACCTGGACACTTTCCTGAGACTTGTTCAGGACCAATATATTAAGGAGACCCTGCATTGCTAATGGGTACCCATCAACACGTAAAGCTTACAAAAAAGAAAATAAAAGGCTATAAATGTGGAAGAGTTTTCCAAAATACCATTAGTTGTAGAAGTGTACAAAACACTTCTAACTCAACCAGCTGGCAAAGTGATGAAGGATCCGACAAAAAACAAGAAATTATGGAAAATGGGTCAACCACTTTCAAAAATATGGCACAATTTTGGGACATCAAGTTACAGGTCATCTTGGCAATTACAGTAGTGTATGTGGTGAAGCTAAAAATGATACA